AAAATGATTCTTCAAAATCATAGATGAAAAGAAAGAATAGTTATGCATTCATATTATGCAGGGAACTAATATGCATTTTGTATTACATGTATTAGTTACTTAATTTAATAAATTTTAAATTAATTACATATCCTCATCATTTCTTGATTAGATTCCTAGAGTGTGTTCTACATTGGGTTGATTTTTGAACATCTGGAAATTTTGAATGTGCAAATACAGCAGCCTTATTACTGTGGGCATTATCAGAAAAGAGCACCCATTTGTGCCTCAGACCTTACATTGGTTACCAGTAGATTAATAAGCATAATTCAGAGTCTGGGTTTTGACATATAAAGTTGAATATAACTTGGTATTTAAGAACCTTCATGATTGCCTTCTACTTGAATCAGCCCATTCAATAAATTGGCAGAAGCGTTTGATCTAAACCTACACTTGTGAAGTAATAAATTGGAAGCCAGGAGGTAATATTTTTAGTTGCTGCTTCAGTCCTGTGGAAAATACTCCTTTTAGAATTATGATTTCCTCCATCATTTCTAATGTTCAGGATTTTCTTACTGAAAATTGGAACATTTCTGAAGAGGGTTGGATTGAATGGTTTGGTCTCATCTTTATTTTACCTCAAAAGGTTTTTTTTATTGATTTGTTTGTTTGATATTAGTTTATTTGGTTGTACTGTAATGTTTTAATTATTTTTCGTTATCATGAAAAATGACAATGTCCAATTTCAGGGTGAGCAAACATACCAGCTTAATTTATAAGTGGTTTACTGATGAATAATACTGCAGTCAATTACAAAGGGAGTAGAGAGCCTGCTGTGCAAATGCATACATATGAACTTCAGAAAATACAGGGAAGTGGAGTCTTGTCTGATAAAAGGGCACAACATTGGTAATGTAGACATTCAGTCCAGAAGCATGCAATACGCAGGGGTCGGTAAACTTTTGGACCTCAGGGACCACCTAACTCATAATTTTAAATCCCGTGGACCACTAATATGAATTTTGACTGATGGTGGCTTGCTGACATTGGTGGGGGAGGGAGGGAGGGGGGAGAGAGAGAGATCTGATCTAACCTTGGATGACTGGTGGTGATGTTCTCTGTCTGTCTCTGTCAGTCGGTCTGTCTCTCTGTCTGTCTCTCTGTCTGTCTGTCTGTCTCTCTCTCTCTCTCTCACACACACACACACTCCAAGGCAACCTCATTCCTAATCTGCTTTTCAGCTCTGTTCTCAGGGGGAGAGAGAGAGAGAGAGAGAGATGGTATTTTGTGATCGGTAGGAAAACGGGGTGGGGGATTTTCCTGCAGACTTTTTTGGTGATTTTCCCAGGGTCTGTGTCTGCAGAGACCCTGGGAAAATCCCCAAAAAAGTCTGCAGGAAAATTCCCTATCCTGTTTTCCTACCAATCAATCGTTCTTCATTTGGGTTTGCAGGATACCATTTCCAGCTCCATTTTCAGAGGGAGAGAAAGAGATTTTTGGCTTCATGCAAGGGAAGCAGCGGAAGTCTTTCTTTCTCTCCCCCCAAACTCCACCAGAAATGAGTCTTTGCTGGCACAGCCTCTTGGAGCAGGATGCCTTACAGGGTCCCAAAGACTCATTTCTGGCGGAGTTTGGGAGAGAGAAAGATTTTTGCTGCTTTCTTTGTGTGCAGTCAAAAGAAGAAGAAAAAAGAAGCAGCCTGGTGGCCAGGCAAGTTCCCCCCCCCCCGCCCTTTCCCCCTCCCCTCATTATTGCATTGTTCCGACGCAAGTCTTGTGTTCCTGCGGGCCATGTGGGTGGCACAGCTTTGTGTTCCCGTGCAGCCTGGATTAATTGCTTTGGGGGTGCTCTAGGGGTGACATTTCTCTGCGGATCACCAAAATTTTTTCGCAGATCACCACTGGGGCACCACTGGGCCCACTGGTTGGAGACCACTGTGCTATAAGGACAGGGGTCCCCAACCTTGGCACGTTTTAAGACTTGTGGACTTCAACTCCCAGAATTCCTCAGCCAGATTTGCTGGCTGAGGAATTCTGAGAATTGAAGTCCACTAGTCTTAAAGTTGCCAAGGTTGGAGACCCCTGCCGTAGGAGGCAAATGGGGTATAAGTTCAGAGAAATGGGCATTGCAGCAGCAGAGAGGTATAGCTCACAAAAATACAGTAGTCAAACACCAAAGAAGTTAATCAGCCTGTTGAAGTTGAAAGGATGAGAATTAAGGAACAGTGCATTGCATACTTTCACTCCATGTAGACATAATTCCATCGAGGACTACCCAGTGAGTGCAGTTGATCAGCCAATAGAGAATCCATCAAGTGGTACTACTGAATATCTCATATTGCTCTGTCTAACCAAGAAGGAGGTTTCAGTCAACTTTGTCAAGTGTCTTGCTGAAGTCCAATGTATTATGTCCACAGCAATTCACTGGTTCACTAATTTAGTTACTTTATCAAAAAAGGCAATAAGGTTTGTCTGGCATGACCTGTTTATAACAAAGCCATGATTGTGTCTATTAATCACCGTATTTGTTTCTAGGTGCTCACAAATGCTCGTTTTTCCCATGATTTCCCCAGATATTGATATCAAGCTGATTGGCTTATAATTTCCTCAAGGTTCTGTCTTGGTCCCAGTAATCTTCAACATCTTCATAAATGATCTAGACAAGAGAATAGAAGGGGAACTCCTCAAATTTGCAGTCACCAAGCTGCGGGGAATAGCTAATACTTTGGAAGCATAAGTGCACCATCGCGCCTCCCGTCCCTGTCCTATTGTCCCCATTTATTCATACCTATTTCCTGTATTCTTACTCATGTTTATACTTATACCTATTATCTTGTAAGCGATTGACAAATCAAATAAATGAATATAAAATAAAAATAAATAAATAAAGATAGGCTCAAGATCCAGAAGGCTCTATCCAATAAGATGCAAATCCTGTAGTGAGAAGAATAAGGTCCTGCGCTTAAGCAAGAAAAACCAAATGCATAGGTATAGAATAGGTGATACTTGGCTCATCAGTAGTAACTGTGACAGGGATCTAGGTATCCTAGTGGACCACCATTTAAGTATGGGCCAGCAGTGTGCTGCAATAGCCAAAAAAGCCAGTGCAGTCCTAAACTGCATCAACAGAGGGATAGCATCAAGACAACCACAAGTAGTAGCATCACTTTACATTGCCCTGGTAAGACCACACTTGGAATATTGCATCCAGTTCTAGTCGTCATGATACAAAAAATATGTTGAGATCCATAAAATGTGCACAGAAGAGCAAAAAAATTAATGATAAGGGGCCTGGGAGCTACGGTAAATCATGACAAATGGTTGACCTAAGTATGTCTAGCCTATCGAAAAGAAGGATCAGGGGAGACCCAATAACTCTCTTCTAGTTGTTGAGGGGCTGTTGCAAAGAAGAGGGGATTGATTTATTATCTAGGGCACCAGAAGTGAGGAGAAAAGGTAACAAGTGGAAGCTTGTCAAAGAGAGATCCAACCTAGAAGTAAGGAGACATTTTCTGACAGAGCAATTAATCCAGGAAATAGCTTTCCTCCTGGAGTTGTGGGTACTCCATCATTGGAGGTTTTCAAAAAACAGACGGACAACCATTTGGTATAAGACTCCTGCCTTGAGCAGCGTCTTGGACTAGAAGATCTTCAAGGTCCCTTCCAGCCATATGATTCTATGATTTCTATGAACATGTGCACAAGAATCCAAGGTTGTCAAGACATTTCCAGTGGAGAGGCAATTACTGGCAGATGTTCTTATTCAGTTATGGGCATTGCATGTTTGCTTCTTGAGGAGCCAAGTAGTTTGTCTTTGTATGATTCTCCAAAGTTGCCAATGTATCCTGTACCGTGCACCCTCTTCACTTGACTGCTGCTCCTGATCTGCTGAGTCAACTTCCATTGGTGCATTGACAACCAGTTCCTAAGAGTGGCAACTCCTCTGAGATTCAGAGGCTGAGGAGCCTGATCGAGCGAGGTGCCAGTCTTAGAATCCTTATGGGTGAGAGGAATTTGTAATTTATTAATACAAATTATAATAATGGTGGTTGTTATGGAGTCCATAAAAGTCAACTTTGTTATAGGTTATATTTATAATATAACCTAAGGTTGTAAAGAGCAGTTAAGATCTATAGTATATCTTTGTCTTTATGTGAATTTGTTGTCATATTCTGGAAGATCTTACTATTTGATATTATCACAATCAACACCCATATTCTCATTCCCTCCCTCCCTCCCAATAGTAAAGATACAATTACAGTTTTCATTCTGACATTACTACAGTAGTAATGAGCATAAAAATGAAATTATTTTACGTTTTTTAATCTGAGAATTTACATCCACTGCAGCACATTAACATTTGTCAGTAATCTCTTTGACTTGGGTGCTTAGAAATCTCATGCAGTCACATATCAGCTTTTAACATCATATATCATCTCCTGAAACATGAGAAGACAGAGGAAGCAACTATAAAAGTGTTGCTGTTTCTAGAAAGACCAACATCTAAAGATTGTAAATGTATAATCTGTAGTTATAGCTGGGTTCACCTTTTGCACGATGGACTTTAATATTTGGAGAGCATGAATCTTAACTAGAACCACATGCCAGCAGAAGCACATTTTAAAATAACCACAATATGTATGATTCAGTATGGATTTTTAAAACAGTAATTCAGCTACCCTCAGTTGTTTTTCCAATTCCCACTATCCCTTTTAAGGATTTGTTGTAAAGTCCAACCAACAGATCATGCAACCCAGCTCATGCAATCAAAACAGATCATGCAACCCAGCTCTCTTCCCTCCTCCTTTCCTTTCTGTCTTCATTTTGCAGTATTGTATTTCCACTATTTCCTGGTCTCACAGAAAGAGGCAGTGCTGAGTTAGAAAGACAAAAATAGACCTTTACAGAGAAATATAGGGATCGTAAGAGAGAGAGAGAGAGAGAGAGAGTGAGTGTATGCGCGTATCCGAGTCTTTATGTGTGTGTGTGTGTGTGTGTGTGTGTGTGTGTGTCTGCGTGTACGCGCATGCTGGTGAGAGGAAGACAGCATTAGGCTGATTTCCAGGAGGAGCCTTCTCTCTTTTCACTGTGTGTTAGGCATTTTGTACAGATTTTCGTTCTGTTAAAAAACACTTACCTCTTCCGGAAGTTTTTTATATCTCTTTGGGGGAGGAAAAAGAAACCAACTGTGATCAGAAAACGGCCAGAAACCATTTTATTTGAACAACTGGTGGGAAGAAAAAGGAGAGATACCATCACAGGGATATAAATATCTTCTGATAAAAAAAATATTTGTTTGAATAGAATTATATATCGGTAGTGCAGCCTGACTTTCCACCCTGAGGGAGAGCGATGGGGTGTTTGGGCAACAGCAAAACAGAAGATCAGCGTATTGATGAGAAAGCGCAGCGAGAAGCCAACAAAAAAATAGAGAAGCAGTTGCAGAAAGAGCGACTAGCTTATAAAGCCACACACCGTTTGCTTCTGCTGGGTAAGAAGAATGGTTTTTGCAGGCGGTGGGCGGGTGGGGGGGGGGGAGAAGAGGGTGCAATAGTGCAGTTAGTTTTACCGGGGAGACAGATATAGAAAAACTGCTATTTATGTATAAGAGAAGGTGAGATGGAAATAATGCAGTCCTGTTTTATTAACCAGAGTGGGTGTAAAATGGAGAGATTGACTAAAGTATATGTAACAATATTTTGGGAGGAGAGAGAGATGCTTTCAACCTGTGTTTTCCCATTTTCTCCTCTCCCCAATGTTATTTACATCATGCATTTTTCTCATCTTTTTCAGGGGCTGGTGAATCAGGAAAAAGCACTATTGTCAAGCAGATGAGGATCTTGCATGTAAATGGATTTAATTCAGAGTAAGAATTATTAATATGTATTGGAAGGGAAATTTTAAAAAAATCCAAATAGGCCATTTGGAACTCATTAGCCCAAAGAGAAGAACTGATATTTGTACACATTTTGTCGGTGTTTCCATTAGATGATAAGCATGGACTTTACAATGACGCATATATATTCCAAGAATCATGAATTTGTATTCCTCCTCCCCCCCCCCCCCCCCCCACACACACTCAAAATCTGGTCTTTCTACCGTATTTTACATTGTTGTTACTGCAGTGCTTAATAGGCCCTTGTGTAACAACAACATGGTGACTACTTACAACAAATACTAATTATTGACTATATGCATAATTAAAGATATATCATTTGTTCATCTGAAATAACTATTACAGAAAAAATGTAAATGTTTATCTTAAAATAAACATGGTTTATTGTCAGTAATATTTATCTCAGAATTTTTTAGAATTTAATAATAATTTAGATATGATTTAACTTCTAGAACTGAAGTCATAGAACAAGATGAAGTATTTGTGTCTTACAAAAATTCTTTCATATTTGATTATTTGACTTGCAAACATATCATGTGCCATTAATCATTTATTTTAGCTAACTCATATGCCAAATTGTCTGCCAGGATATAGTGATATAGTATAGTATAGTATAGTGATTAGGGAAAATAGTTTTTTGCATGGCAAATTATTACTTGGTGAACATTTCAGAAATAACTGGAGTAACCAATTGATTTTTGCTATTATACACAGAGAAAAGAAACAAAAAATTCTGGATATTCGGAAAAATGTAAAAGATGCAATTGTGGTAAGAATATTTATTTTTATTTTTATATACATATTTAGCAATTGGATAAAACAAATTGCCAGTTAAGGCTAAATGAACTTCTATCAGTATTTAATATGTCCTGTTATTTTTTTCCTAGACTATAGTTTCAGCAATGAGCACTTTAATACCTCCAGTTCCATTAGCTAATCAAGAAAACCAATTTCGAGCGGATTACATCAAAAGCATAGCTCCACTTTCTGACTTTGACTACACCCAGGTAACATTTATTTTTCTTTCTCCTTCTCAGTTCTCAAAAAGAATAGGGGTGCCTTATTTTCCATTTGTGAGGCTTGGACTTTGTGATAAAATTATAATTAAATTATTTGGCATTGCAATAAGGAAAAAGAAGCTATTCTGATATAATGCTGCATTTTACTTTCCCAAAATATTTAAAATGAGTATAATGTAAATAACAGGTATACAAAACTGTATCAGTTTTCAGTTTTGTGGTTTGTAAAATTTGAGACTGGTTTTAACTTAGTGTACAGTGTAGGTGAAAATTGGTAATGCTTTTTTATCAGAAAGATTATACTGCTTGTAGAAACTCCATTTCATCCTTATGAAAACTTTGATCCAATATTTTGATTTAGTTTGTTCTAGCCATTCATATAAACCATTGTACAGCTTGTAATAATTTAGACCAGAGGTTACTTGCATATATTATTCTGATATACACAAATGTTAAGGTTAAAAATTTTCATCTCACTCCTTTCTTTTAGTCACCTCCATCTATCGGTCTCCATGGGGAAGTCTGCTATATAATTATAGATAATGCATAAGGCAAGAGGAATTGATGATAAAAAGAATACCATATGGAATTCAGAGTATACCAGATTTTACCCTTAGAAATCAGAGGGAGATCATAGACTCTTAGTAGGAATATGTCTTCAAATATTTTTTAGAGTATAGGAAAAGGCATTATACAGAAGGTGAAACAGGGCATAAGAATGAAGATTTGCTGGTTCCTATGCCCTGTTCCCACTTCTGTTGTGTACTGTAATACCATGTACATGATTGTTTCCTTTTTATTTTGCATAATGAAAGGGAATAGAAAGGAACAGCTACTTCCTATTTCTTCATTGATGTCCTGCAGCCAATAAAATTATTGAATGATTGACAGAAATTTAAGATTGTTTGATTGTGCTCACAGCTGACAAATAGCAGTAAAATGTTCTTTTCTTTGTTGCGCTCATTATGTTCCAAATATAATCTGGAAAAAAAATACATCCAGGATTACTACTAGTATTGATCAAAATTAATTATGAGGATTCATTTATAATAATGGATAATTTTATGTGTTTCCTTTCTTCTAATATAAATAACTATGTCATTATGTTGTCACTAACTATGAAACCTGAATTTTTTAAGTCTATTTCTTCTGTTTTTTGGGGGGGATATTATTGGGTTTATTACTAGTTTTATTAAGAATCACAATATGTTTGTATGATTTCTGTGAGACAAATTTGGTAAAGGACTATTCTGGTTTAGGTTTGTGATGTGGCAGAGCTAGTCTGTTTTTAAATAAATATAGTTTAGAGTTTAAATAAATATAGTTTTATGTATTTGCATTAAATGCAACTATTCAGAAAACACTCATATAGCTTGATTGTTACTTTAAATAATTTATTAAGAATAATAAACTTTTGTTTTAAGATAGCTAATATTTAACTACATAACTTTTAAAGCTTCAGTGTTGTACCAACTTGGGAAAAGCTATCACTGAATTCAGTGTGATTTTTTTTTTAGTACTAGTAATATAGAATTGTCTTTCGTGGTATGCACAGCTCCCTTACAAATGTAAATCTGTTAGTTGTATCTATTTGATTGAACAATGTTTTTCTCCTGTCCTTTTATTTATTAAAGTTGGTAAATGATATGTGGACTTCACCATGTCATTCTTGTAAAAAGGCAGATTGGGAATGTCCCTGTCAAATATATTGAGCATTCAAATACTGCTACATCAGAAAACGATAGATTTGGTTTAGATCTAATAATAGGAAAGTTGCTATAAAGTGAACTTGTTGGTTTTCTAACTTGGAAAAATCAACTATACAGATTTAGTGGACCTCTTTTGGATTGAAGAAACATGGAAGTCCTTCTCAAAGTGTAATATGGCAAAGCATTTCTAAAAATACTCAAGCATAATAATATAGTAGCCTGCTATTAAAAGCAGAGGCATCCACAGGTGGTGGCTCAAAAAAATCAAGATATGACTACATCATTAAAGCCCCACCTTTTTTTCTTGTGTGTTATACTCATTGCATACATATGAAAAGAGAGAGAGCTTTGATTGCACAGTTATATCTGCCATCTTGACTTTTTTGACCCATACTGAGGGTGCCCTGAGCCCCCTTGACTCAACTAACAATCTTAGATTCTTAGCCAATATACATTACATATAAACATGGGCTAATATGTTTGGGAAGGAATTCCAGAATATCTTAACTGCTTCTAATGCAGAATAACTTTTGTTTGATGCTAACCTAGAATGTAGACAGTTGTAATTTAAATGGGATAAATACATCCATTCTGTTGAACAACATCCTCAGCTTAGGTTTGAAGCAGTGGTATCATTGATACAATGAACTTCCATTTTGAATCCTTCATTTTAGATTTGTAGATCTAAAAGATTGTTTCAGATTAGTAGTGGAGGTGTGGAGGTAGTAAATTACATTAATAAACTGGTTCTCCTTAGGGACCAAACATCTTTCATGATGGAGTCCCTTCATTTTATTCTTACAACAGGTTTATAAGGTAGACTACCTCAAAGCCAATCTGGCTACACCAAAGTCAAATGCACGTTGAAACCTGTCCCATTACTGAACCTTAATCATGATTCAACATTAGTATTGTGCATAGGTACAACCTTTTTGTATTTTAAGTGAAATGTGTTTGTATAGGCACAAATATATATACACTATGAGGAATCAGATTTGAATTTCTATACCAGGAAGGAATATATATATTTCCTTTGGTTATATAATTGTGCTGTCTGAATGCATGTCCAATGGGAGAAGAGAAAAATCTGTATCTTTGTTTACGGAACCTCTGAATGCAATTAGATTTTTCCCCTACTAACTTTTTATATAAGTCTGCCATTACATAAATACAGATAATATTTCAATCATAATTGAAATTATATCTCATTTAAATCAGTTAAATTTAATTTAGAGTAAAATATGGTAAGCATCAGGCTGTAGGAATAATTATTTGAAAATGAAGCTCTCCTAAATCATCAAAATGTATTGGATATAGATTCAGATTGTGTTACTAAGAAAACATTCATATTAACATAGAGAATTTCTATTCTAATATAAACAGTAGTTTATAATAGTAAACTGCAGTAATTCTGACATCAGCAATGGAGTTAGCATTTCTTTATTGCTGCTGTGCGTTCACTTTATCAGATTATTATTCTGTACTTTGATGCTCATTGCTTCTTATTTTGAAATTGTTAGTGAAGATGTCTGAATGTATTGAAAGGATGTTCTAATATGTTTTGATACAGTAATTATAATTTCAAATTTCATTATGTATGCATGTGTACGTGTGTGTTTTCTGTGGTATAAATCTTTAATTTTGCAAGTAAGTAGTTTTTATGCTATACACAGATCAGAGTCACATTGCTTAACTTGGGTGCCTTATCAATTTTATCAATAATTCAGTGTGTTATGATATACAAAAATTAACAAAGAAAATTGTATGAGCTATAGATTACAATACATGAGTCATGGTAGACTTGGATGGAGGCTGCCATTATTGAAGTCTTAGATTTTTTTTTTTTGGAAGCTTTCGATATTGTTGGCAGCATACCTTCTGGCCTGCTTGCAGAAATCAGGAATTGAAGACATAGTATTGTAGTGGTTCCACTTCTACCTAAGTGGGTAGGTCCAGGTGGTGGTATGGTTTAGGAAGGTTAAACCAAAGGTACTTTATTATAGGATGCCTATTTTATTCAGTATCTACATGAGAGCACTGAGTCATCTGTTGGTTACAGGTGAGGTATGATAATTATACAATATGCAACACCTCATTTGCATATCTCCATGCTTAGCCTATTGGGAGATATGATGGAAGTCATGACCCAATGTTTGAAGGCTATCAAGCTCTGAATGGAGAAAAACAGACTCCAAACTAGCAAAGTGTTATTGATTCCAAGGCTGACTGATTCCAATATTAATCAACCTTGGATCTTGATAAGATTGTGCTTCCTCAGAAAGAGCAGGCTCACAAACTGAGAGTCTACCTGGACTCGGCTCCCACTCAGAGAGTTTGTAGAGGCTGTGACTAGGAAGACCTTTAGACAGGTTTTGCTGGTGTGGCTGTTTTAGTCTTACAATAGGAACAGATTGATTTGAGATAGTCATTCATACCCTTGTCATTTAGATATTAAATTACTGTAACTTATTCTATGTAGGCTGTCCTTGAAGACCACTTGGAAACTAGTCTAGAACAGGGGTGTCAAACTCACGGCGGCACAATGTCGTCACGTGATGTATCGGGACTTTTCTCCCCTACGCTAAACTGGGTGTGGGCAGCAAGTGACATATCCGGCCCATGGGCTGTGGGTTTGACAGCCCTGGTCTAGAACATGGCAGCATGTACACCTCATCTGCAAGACCTACAGTGATTACCAGTAACTTTCCAAGTGCAATTCAGGGTTCAGGTCACTCAGGGCTGGTTATCTTAGAGATTACCTTTCTCCAAGTGTTTCTGTCTACCATAAAACACCATACAACATACTGAAAAACTAGGATAGCTTGTTAAGGGTCCAAACCTATCAGGAGATATGGCATAAGGAGTGTGTGTGATTATGAGCATTCCTTTCTAGCTATTCCCCTGATTTGGAATAGCTTCTCCTCTTGGATGAGTATGGCTCCCACCCTCATGGCTTCCAGAAGTAGATGAAAACGTGGCTTTTCTGGAATGGTTAATTAAAGTTAATACTGACATGTTAAGCATATATATTTAAAATAATGGTAATCATTTTAATGTAGCAATCATTTGAAAATAATTAGAAAGGGTTTACAGTTTCAGTTAATTATATTGATTTGTACGGTGTTTTATATGTAAGTTCTGTTAAGTCAACTAGAGTCCAATTGGTTATACTCTGATCTCAAACACAGATTGGAGAAGAGTGCCTCAGCCATAATTAAGCACCTAATTAAAACTATGAATATAGTGCTTGATTTCAAATATAAAAAATCACTATAGGAA